AACTTTTATTAATATAACATTCAGTGGCGTAGCTAGGATTTTTGGGCCCCTATGCATAAAGTGTTAGTGGGCCCCTCAGAGGCGTAGCGACCTTCGCGCGACCGGGGACAAACTTTCGATTTGCACCCCCCCCACCTCAAACTTTCGATTTGCACCCCCCCCTCAGACTTTCGATTTGCAACCCCCCCCCCCCTCAGACTTTTAATTTCCACCCCCCCTCAAAACTTCGAATAAGGGCCCCTATTTGCCTTGGGCCCCTATGCCTTGCTTACGGTAGCTTTACGATAGCTACGTCACTGATAACATTAATAATATTCAAAATTGTGAAACTTCAGCCACACGATCTCAATGTGACAAATACCTTTTAAGAAACCTTCCATTTCAGAACATGATGAAAAAGTTCTGACCCTCTAATATCCCCCCCCCCCCCAAAACGAACACACACCCTCTGCATACACCACTGATTCGCCTTAAGTATTGGGAAAACCCATAAACGTGGCGTGAAGATTTTTCTATAAAATTATTTTTTTTGTATACAACATTTTTTTATAAACATACAACATTAGAACAGAAAAACCACAGGCCATTTACTTAAAATTTGGCAAATTCACTTCGAGCTCGTTTAGTTAATTTGCTTGATTTTTCGTTAATGAATAGAATATATGTCGTGATCAATGTAATTTTTTTCGTCCATTGAACAACGAATATCGGGAAATCCCCAACTGAGGCAGAGTTTTATTTATGGATCTGATGCAATTTTAGAGTATTAACTGGGATTTTTTTAGTTTTTTTTATTCTTAATGCACTTGACAAACTTTTGACAATCAAACAGGCCTTTGACAGTCACTGACCAAACTAATAGGCCTTTGACAGTCACTGAACAAGGCCTTTGACAGTCATTGACCAAACTAATAGGCCTTTGACAGTCAGTGACTAAGGCCTTTGACAGTCACTGACTAAGGCCTTTGACAGTCACTGAACAAGGCCTTTGACAGTCACTGACCAAACTAATAGGCCTTTGACAGTCAGTGACTAAGGCCTTTGACAGTCACTGACTAAGGCCTTTGACAGTCACTGAACAAGGCCTTTGACAGCCACTGAACAAGGCCTTTGACAGTCACTGACCAAACTAATAGGCCTTTGACAGTCACTGACTAAGGCCTTTGACAGTCACTGACTAAGGCCTTTGACAGTCACTGAACAAGGCCTTTGACAGTCACTGACCAAACTAATAGGCCTTTGACAGTCACTGACCAAACTAATAGGCCTTTGACAGCCACTGACCAAGGCCTTTGACAGTCACCAAGGCCTTTGACAGCCACTGAACAAGGCCTTTGACAGTCACTGACTAAGGCCTTTGACAGTCACTGACTAAACTAATAGGCATTAGACAGTCACTGACCAACCAAACCAGACACCACATGTTGTGGTGCTGTGGGTCACTCGTGTGCTACCTTAAATGCTTCACAACACACTTTCAACATAATACAAGAGAAAAAAAAACACTTCAATAACTTTAATATCTATAAACATATAAAACAATATGATTGTATAAGTTAGTATATTTTGACAAACAAACAATCATATTTGAGTTCAGTAAATAAGTAACGCAGGAACATTAAATATAAATGTCTTTGGTAAAAGAAAGAAAAACTGTTTCAAAAGTGTGGATGAATTGTCTTTACTATAAAAACTGTTATAATAATATCAAATACAGATCTTTTATTGTAACAGTAATACACACATATAAAGTAGCATTACAGTTCGACATGAGTTTACTACTTAAGTGCGAAATTATTTAAATAGTAAACAAAACCAAATTCAGAAAGGCTTTATCATTAGAATAAAATTACAATAAATGTTTTTTTTTTAATTTTTTTTATAGATTTTAAATGTGTACATTAAACATATTAAACAATAGTTGTAGTTTTAAACATATAAACATGGATGTAAGATATATAACAGCCTAAACAAACTCATTGTACGTGCATACGTCCTTGCTTACAGAAGACAAGAGTGGCAAAATGTTTTTAAAGTTTTCATATTTAGATTGTCGTAAAGATAGTTATTGGATTTGGTTATGAATATCATTAAGGTCTCGTCTAATGTCATTAGATTTAGTAATGGATATTTTTAGGGTTTGTCTAATGTCATTATATTTAGTTAAATTAGTTATGGATATTTTTAGGGTTTTGTCTAATGTCATTAGATTTAGTTGTGAATATCATTAAGGTTTTGTCTAAGGTCATTATATTTAGTTATTAATATCATTACGGTTTTGTCTAATGTCATTAGATTTAGTTGTGAATATCATTAAGGTTTTGTCTAAGGTCATTATATTTAGTTATTAATATCATTACGGTTTTGTCTAATGTCATTAGATTTAGTTACTAATATCATTATAGTTTTGTCTAATGTCATTAGATTTAGTTATGGCTATTTTTAGGGTTTGGTCTAACATCATTATATTTAGTTATGAATATCATTGTCTAATATCATTATATTTAGTTGTGGATATCATTAAGGTTTTGTCTCAAAAATTATTGAACAGATAGGCTATTGACACAAACCTCTTCCTTAAGTTAAACGGGTACCTACGTATACGTGCTCACGGTCTCACAGGGATCCGAACCCACCTTTCCCACTGAAGTTACAGTGTGGGTTAGAGCCGCTGTGTACATGTGTGTACGTGGTGAAGAGGTCGCCTATCATGTACACATACGCCCCACTGCTCCCCGGGCATGTACACGTACTGTACGCATACTTTGAGTGCAGGCTGTCGTGTTCATTGACCACCAGCTCCCACCTACCCACAGACACACACTTTGACCTACCGTGCGGATGCGACACGATCACCGCTAATTTGTCTTCGTCAACAAACTTTTCATACTTCTCATTAATTACCTCCCTCAAATCGTTGAACCGTCTCCTGGCTGAGTAAATTGTCTCAAAAAGCTGCTCATCGCATGTCAAGCACACAAACTGTGTCCAATCTCCGGAAATATCCGGAATAACAATCCTCCCTCCGTTTAACTCCGTGAATGGACTATCCGGCGAGTCGTAAAAAAAATGAATTGTTGAACTCTCGACCTCGCTTTGGTCAAAAACCACATGTGTGGCTGTGTGGATTTCAAACTTACCACACGCGATCTTCGGATTCCCCGAATCTTTACACTTTCTACAATTGCACGTGATTTTATCTCGGGGCGAAAGTTTGTGAGCACGTCTCACAACACCAGACCCCGTCTTCTTCCTGAACTTCCCCCTTTCAAAGTAAAACGGATATTCGTTTGTCGTGTTAGGAAAATACTGCGGTCTCCGGATGCTGTTAAAGTTAACGTTTATTTTCACAGTGATAGTAATTAACGCCTTCATCAGCGCCATCATATCACCATCGTGGTAGCGTGAAGGTAGGTGCTGTAGAGTGAAGGATGGCACTGGGATAAACTTCGGATGACCTGGGTTTTTCTGGCAGAGTAGGTAGTGATCCTGTAGGTCGTCGTTGTCTTCGTAGAATTCAACTTCAGAACTGCCTACAAATTGTACGTAATATATATATATATATATATATATATATATATATATATATATATATATATATATATATATATATATATATATATATATATATATATATATATATATATATATATATATATATATATAATCTTTAGCAAGCCTAGTCTATAAAAATTTGTTTTAAAGAAGAACATTATTCTAACCTATACCCGACTTAGGATTAAAACCTTATAATCCTAACAAGCTTGTTAATTCCTATAAATTATATATTCCTATAGAATGTAGGAAATATATCTACATAATAGATGTATATACTACCTGTAAAGTAGTTCTCAATGTCACCACTGGTCAGCATTCTTCGTGTCCACCTTCTTGAACCTAAAATGCCGTCTGTAAAATCGATGCCACTGTTCAATCGAGAAAGAAAACACATCAGACAGATCGAATACCACACAACACGGTTACAGAATTACCCCGATAAACAAATCATGTGTGCTCGATGAGTACATCTCGCTACTACACATCAATGAATAGAGTGTTGGGTGATTACGTCAACAAACACCTAATACTGGATGAGTTCGTCTCACTACACATCAACAGAAACTAAAACTGGATGAACGCTACTCACTTATTTGCCTTCCTGGGGCTCGCGCAATGCACGCGAGTTTCGTCACTCGTGCTGTGTGACCTAGTTACAATGGCCTTGACCCGAGCACTAGGAAGCTGATGAAAACAAACTCTAACTAGCCGAGATGAATGGTTTATTTTCAATCAAATTCCACGCGGAGTACTCAACATTCACTTAAGAGTAAAAACACACTTTATTAACATTAGCTCATCTGTTGTGTTTTATCAATGCTTATCTATATATATAATTTTCTTCTTGGAGACGCTAGAAAACAAGCTGTAAGCGCGCTCCCTACCACCTCACCCCTACATTATCTGGTGACCTTTGGTTCACGCTAAATGTTTACAATCGTAGAGCCGGATTTAGTGACGGTTACTACGGGCAGTTAATTTAGTTTGAAACGATTTTAAACTTAGGGGAGGTAACTAAGAGGAGGCTGCTTTCATGGGGGAGGGGGGAGATGTAGGGTAGGGGTTGGGGGAAAGGAAGGTGGGGGTAGTATCGTCCTTAACGACCTACTGATAGTGTTTTAAAGCAAATATTTTCAGTGGCAGCATTGGTACTGCCGAATTCACAAATTATGAATTACTGATAAGTAGAAAATAAAACAACTAAATAGTGGCGTATGATATGCCGCGGGTCGGCTCGTTATAATTTTTGTTGCTGTGAGGTTTGACAAAATATATACTTTCTTATTTCATCTTTATATTTCCATTTATTATACTTTGAATAACTATAATATATTCGGGTTAAAATGTGTAAACTTATTTCAAAGAAGGCCAACCTATTTCTCATCAAGTATAGTTGATTCATAGCTAACATTAAAAATGTATAGAACATAAATATGACGGGGAAGTTAATCCTATTATAAGTGGGTTGTTAGACTTAAATGAGAGAAATAGATGATGCTGAAGCACTCACCCAAATATAAAATGGGGTTGAATTGACAATTTTTTCCCCCTTAAATCAGGAAAAACAACAAACTTATAATTTATATTTAAACAATGTATATATAAACGTAGAAAAGTGGGCGGGGTTTTAAACTGCAACGTCACGTGACTCGTGTTTCACCTAGCTCACGGATACAGTGACGTTAAGTCACGTGGTAACCCCAACCCATGGGTGAAACAGAAACAAAAATACCTGACTGCCACTTCCGTTTTTATGTCCTCGTTTTTTATTGGATACACGGATATTTTATACAAGAAACTGCGGTTATTTTTAACTTATTACACCATTACTGTTTTTTTAAATAAGAGTACTCACTTATTTTCAAGTGGTATTTAGACTATTGTTAATTACGAAGCCCAGTAATGAGATTTGACGGTTATGCTCCATGTTTTTATTCTGTGTTTAATTTTTTTTGTATATCACCAAACATAATTCATATTACTTAGATATTAAAAATCCTGTTTTTTTAGAATTAAAAGATGACATGAAAATACATTTCACGTCAAAATATCTTAAGACAAAATATCTTAGGACAAAATATCTGAGGACAGAATATCTGAGGACAAAATATCTGAGGACAAAATATCTGAGGACAAAATATCTTAGACAATTTAGCACAGACAAATGATCTGCAGATTAACTCCACTTTAACAAATACTTAACAGTGATCTGATCAATTACAAGTGAAATATTTGTGACGTCATGGTCAGACAATGCACTCTCCTCCCCCTCTCAAAATACCACATGCTGGGTTATACTCTCACCGCGTATACAGCAATGGTTTTAATTACAAGTGTGTTTAATGTTAGTGGTGTTGTGTTAGTGGGTTTAATGTTAGTGGTGTTGTGTTAGTGTGTTTAATGTTAGTGGTGTTGTGTTAGTGTGTTTAATGTTAGTGGTGTTGTGTTAGTGTGTTAAATGTTAGGGGTGTTGTGTTAGTGTGTTTAATGTTAGGGGTGTTCTGTTAGTGTGTTTAATGTTAGGGGTGTTGTGTTAGTGTGTTTAATGTTAGGGGTGTTGTGTTAGTGTGTTAAATGTTAGGGGTGTTTTGTTAGTGTGTTTAATGTTAGGGGTGTTCTGTTAGTGTGTTTAATGTTTGGGGAGTTGTGTTAGTGTGTTAAATGTTAGGGGTGTTGTGTTAGTGTGTTTAATGTTAGGGGTGTTCTGTTAGTGTGTTTAATGTTATGGGTGTTCTGTTAGTGTGTTTAATGTTAGGGGTGTTGTGTTAGTGTGTTAAATGTTAATGATGTTGTGTTAGTGTGTTTAATGTTAGGGGTGTTGTGTTAGTGTGTTTAATGTTAGGGGTGTTGTGTTAGTGTGTTTAATGTTAGGGGTGTTGTGTTAGTGTGTTTAATGTTAGGGGTGTTGTGTTAGTGTGTTTAATGTTAGGGGTGTTGTGTTAGTGTATTTAACGTTAGGGGTGTTGTTTTAGTGTGTTTAACGTTAGGGGTGTTGTGTTAGTGTGTTTAATGTTAGGGGTGTTGTGTTAGTGTGTTTAATCTAAGGGTGTTGTGTTAGTGTGTTTAATCTTAGGGTGTTGTGTTAATGTGTTTAATCTTAGGGTGTTGTGTTAGTGTGTTTAATCTTAGGGTGTTGTGTTAGTGTGTTTAATCTTAGGGTGTTGTGTTAGTGTGTTTAATCTTAGGGGTGTTGTGTTAGTGTGTTTAATCTTAGGGGTGTTGTGTTAGTGTGTTTAATGTTAGTGGTGTTGTGTTAGTGTGTTAAATGTTAGTGATGTTGTGTTAGTGTGTTTAATGTTTGTGGTGTTGTGTTAGTGTGTTTAATGTTAGGGGTGTTGTGTTAGTGTGTTTAACGTTAGGGGTGTTGTGTTAGTGTGTTTAACGTTAGGGGTGTTGTGTTAGTGTGTTTAATGTTAGGGGTGTTGTGTTAGTGTGTTTAATCTTAGGGTGTTGTGTTAGTGTGTTTAATCTTAGGGTGTTGTGTTAGTGTGTTTAATCTTAGGGTGTTGTGTTAGTGTGTTTAAACTTAGGGTGTTGTGTTAGTGTGTTTAATGTTAGTGGTGTTGTGTTAGTGTGTTTAATGTTAGTGGTGTTGTGTTAGTGTGTTTAATGTTAGTGGTGTTGTGTTAGTGTGTTTAATGTTAGTGGTGTTGTGTTAGTGTATTTAATGTAAGTGGTGTTGTGTTAGTGTGTTTAATATTAGTGGTGTTGTGTTAGTGTGTTAAATGTTAGGGGTGTTGTGTTAGTGTGTTTAATGTTAGGGGTGTTCTGTTAGTGTGTTTAATGTTAGGGGTGTTGTGTTAGTGTGTTAAATGTTATGGGTGTTGTGTTAGTGTGTTTAATGTTAGGGGTGTTCTGTTAGTGTGTTTAATGTTAGGGGTGTTCTGAGTGTGTTTAATGTTAGGGGTGTTGTGTTAGTGTGTTTAATGTTAGGGGTGTTGTGTTAGTGTGTTTAACGTTAGGGGTGTTGTGTTAGTGTGTTTAACGTTAGGGGTGTTGTGCTAGTGTGTTTAATGTTAGGGGTGTTGTGTTAGTGTGTTTAATCTTAGGGTGTTGTGTTAGTGTGTTTAATCTTAGGGTGTTGTATTAGTGTGTTTAATCTTAGGGTGTTGTGTTAGTGTGTTTAATCTTAGGGTGTTGTGTTAGTGTGTTTAAACTTATGGTGTTGTGTTAGTGTGTTTAATCTTAGGGGTGTTGTGTTAGTGTGTTTAATCTTAGGGGTGTTGTGTTAGTGTGTTTAATGTTAGTGGTGTTGTGTTAGTGTGTTAAATGTTAGTGATGTTGTGTTAGTGTGTTTAATGTTAGGGGTGTTGTGTTAGTGTGTTTAATGTTAGGGGTGTTGTGTTAGTGTGTTTAATGTTAGGGGTGTTGTGTTAGTGTGTTTAATGTTAGGGGTGTTGTGTTAGTGTGTTTAATGTTAGGGGTGTTGTGTTAGTGTATTTAACGTTAGGGGTGTTGTTTTAGTGTGTTTAACGTTAGGGGTGTTGTGTTAGTGTGTTTAATGTTAGGGGTGTTGTGTTAGTGTGTTAAATGTTAGGGGTGTTTTGTTAGTGTGTTTAATCTTAGGGTGTTGTGTTAGTGTGTTTAATCTTAGGGTGTTGTGTTAGTGTGTTTAATCTTAGGGTGTTGTGTTAGTGTGTTTAATCTTAGGGTGTTGTGTTAGTGTGTTTAATCTTAGGGGTGTTGTGTTAGTGTGTTTAATCTTAGGGTGTTGTGTTAGTGTGTTTAATCTTAGGGGTGTTGTGTTAGTGTGTTTAATGTTTGTGGAGTTGTATTTGATGGTGTTAAATTGATATTGCCAGAGAAGGACAAACAGACAATACAACGTGTTTATAGCAGAGACTAAAATAACCTCCCTTCACTTTTTCGCCGAGTAAAGATAAAAGATAAGTTGATATCTTTGGAAGATAAATTCTTTACTTACATGTTAGGGAAACTTCAAAAAACACAGGCCAACACTTCATACATTCACACAATTGAATAAAATTTCTGTACGTAATAGCTCCCAAACCACATTTAAGAGCTTTGTTTATGAAACAGCCTTATTTAATGTATCCGCGCCTGTCCTTATTGCGAGTAAGAAGCTATTATTAGAACAGTAAGTTTCTCATTGCTAACTAGAGCGTATCAACGTCACGGTACTCTTTATGATGAAATGTGTGACCTAGCCGCCCTTTCAAAGGGATTAAAAAAACCAACACACACTTTAAGCGTCAATGACTGTTATAGATTAACCGTACCCACATAGGTGTATAAAGGTAATCGCTGCTAGATAATGTTTAGAGCTAGAAAAAGTATTAGATGCATTACTTTTTTTTTTACTTTCTCGTATATACGAAGTATAGAGAAAGTCTTGTAATCGTGCAAAAAAAAAATCGAGATTTTTGCAAATCTCGAAGTTTTACATCTCACTGATACGGAAAAACATAATTTTGCAATCTTGTCCGTATGTCTGTGTGTGTGTGTGTGTGTGTCCGTGTGTAAACACGATAACTTGAGTACCGTTACAGCTAGGTTGATGAAATTTAATATTTAAGTATTTTATCAAAATCGTAGATCCGTATCAACTTTTGAGCAATTTCCGATAACCGGAAGTGGTACTTTTTCTACTTTGAATTTTTCAAAAGCCTATAACTTGATTACTATTTCAGATAGATAAATGAAATTTGATATGTAAGTAAAAGATCTAATTCTCTACCTTCTGTCAAATTTTGAGTAATTTTCGTTGACCGGAAGTACTTATTTACGCTATTTTTGATTTCTCAAAAAACGCATGTAAATTTATAAAGTACTAATAATATTGCGCACTATTATGCACATATTTATTTAGCGTTCACTTGGTGTGCATTTCTTTTTTCTACCAGATTATATTCTATTTTAAAAAATTTGAGAAATTAAAATGGATTAAAAATCATGTCTAGAAGTCTATATCCCGAGTTGCCATCCCCCGTAGTGTTATATTAGAATATTCGAGAAAGTTTAGGGGAGATCACTCCCGGTTTATTTTACTTAGGATAAAGAGCTGCGCTAATTCTAATATTCTCTTGATCGAAGCTGACGGTCCATGGTAAAAGTGAGGTAGAGTTCACCTGTTTCTGTGACCTTGGCATATAAAGAGATAGTGTGGTCAGCACTATGCCCAGCCGCCTTTAGTTTCCCTAACATGAGTTAGGTACTCAAAAGATCTGGGTGGACTCAGTGACGTTTTAGAATTCTAATGTTCGGGTTTTGTTTTGAGGGTGCTGTAGGATAACAAATATGTTGGAATGAGTTGTTGGGCTGAACGGGCTTCATCCAGGGATCGTTAACTTGTGAATGTTAAAAATTTGGATATACAGTTTGTTTATTATACGTAGTCGTCATATATAACTGCAAATCGGTTAAAAATAATTCGAACACGACAACTACACTACCCCTCTTTGGTAAGGTGCTCAAAAGGGCAGATGAAATAGAGTTCATCTGTTTCTGTTAACTCGGCGTATTAAGGCATAGTATGCCAAGCCGTCTCTACTTTCACTAACGTGAGTCAGGTGCTCATTAGATGTGAGTGGACTCAGTGAGTCAGGTGCTCATTAGATGTGGGTGGACTCAGTGAGTCAGGTGCTCATTAGATATGGGTGGACTCAGTGAGTCAGGTGCTCATTAGATGTGGGTGGACTCAGTGAGTCAGGTGCTCATTAGATATGGGTGGACTCAGTGAGTCAGGTGCTCATTAGATGTGGGTGGACTCAGTGAGTCAGGTGCTCATTAGATGTGGGTGGATTCAGTGATTCAGGTGCTCATTAGATATGGGTGGACTCAGTGAGTCAGGTGCTCATTAGATGTGGGTGGACTCAGTGAGTCAGGTGCTCATTAGATATGGGTGGACTCAGTGAGTCAGGTGCTCATTAGATGTGGGTGGACTCAGTGAGTCAGGTGCTCACTAGATGTGGGTGGACTCAGGGACGTCCAGTGTCCTAACTCGAGACTTTCGGAAAAGAAAGGAAAATAATTTAAGAAAATAATCCTTTCATCACCCAAGTCCGCTCATCCTCCCAAAAGATTAAAAAGCCCCCCCCCCCCCCTTCCGAAGAAGAAAATGTCTGAAAGAAACATTTATCAAAAGTAGAAAAGAAAATCATGTATAAATGTAATATCAGCTTTATTTTGCATGTAAAATCAACATTAAAAATATATTTAAAAAAAAAAGAAATGCGGAATTTTGTCGTGTGTCCAGTTGTATGATTGACCACTGAACCTGGTTTTATTGTGTGTCCAGTTGTATGATTGACCTCTGAACCTGGTTTTGTTGTGTGTCCAGATGTATGATTGACCTCTGAACATGGTTTTAATGTTTGAATACTTGAGCTAGTCTATGACAGGCACAAAATCTCAATGAAATTAAGAACATTTCACAGAGTGGACGGGTTTAATAGAGAGGCATTTAGGATGGGGATGAATGAGTTAGAAATTGGGTGAGGCATTGGAGATGGAAATGGACGGGTTTGATATTGGGAGAGGTATTGAGGATGGGGATGGATGACCTTCAGATATGTATTGAGGATGGGGATGGATGACTCTGGGAGAGGTATTGAGGATGGGGATGGATGACCTTGAGATATGTATTGAGGACGGGGATGGATGATTTTGAGATATGTATTGAGGATGGGGATGGATGACCTTGAGATATGTATTGAGGATGGGGATGGATGACCTTGAGATATGTATTGAGGATGGGGATGGAAGACCTTGAGATATGTATTGAGGATGGGGATGTATAATACTGGGAGAGTCAATGAGGATGGGGGCTGAGCTCAACTTCCGATATCTCACGCCGCGCCGAGCCCGCCCTCGCTGCTGTAGCTCCCGAGCTGACTGGTGCAGCTGTGCACGTGACAGTAGGTGGTGAACCGCTCACCCACCATGTACACATACGCCCCACTGCTGCCCGGACACGTGCACGTGTAGTATGAGTATTTCGAGTGGACGCTGTCCGCTTCGTTTAACGCTTTGTGCCACTGTCCAATGGAAACCTGTTTCTGCTTGCCGTGTGGATGCGACACGATGATCGCCAGTCTGTCTTCATCGACGAACTCGTCGTATTTATCGTTTATAATTTCCAGCAAATCGTCGAATTTTTTCCACGTTTTATAAATCTTGTCGAAAAAACTAACGTCGCATGTCAGGCATGAAAAACGACACCAGTCCCCGAGGGTCATCACGCTGACTATCCTCTGACCCCGGAGTTTGACCGTTGAACTTTGACCTTTATCATAAAAGAACACGCAGGTCGTTCTCTCCAACTCACTCTGGTCAAAAACCACGTGCGTCGCCGTCTGAATCTCAAGTTTCCCCACCGGTGTTTTGGGATTTTCCGAAAAACGACACTCATCACAGTTGCACACCAGTTTTTGTTTTTCCCGTTCAGAGTACCTCTGCACGCGACGCACCCTTCCGGTGCCCGTTTTTAAGGAGTAGTCGCCCCTACTCTCGAACCCCGGATACGCCTCCCTCGTTTTCGGCAGAAACTGTGGCCTACGCTCGCTGCTGTATTTACCGATCAGCAGGGCGGTCAAGGTTGAAATACAACGCACGATCTCCAACAAATCGTCGTCACGGTACCTGGGAGGCAGGTGGTCGAGGGTTAGCTCCTCCACAGGAATAAAACCGGCGTGGCCAGGATTTTTAGAGCAGTTTTCGTAAAGTTTATCGAGTTCAAATTCTCCACCTTCGCAGATTTCAGCCTCTGCCTTACCTACAACAAAGAAAGATTTAAAATGTTAACATTCTGACGTTTTCGTATAATAACATCTCGAGTGGCGTAGCCAGGATCGTCTCAAGGGGGGGGGGGGGGTTCCAATTTTAACCCGGGGACAAACTTTCGATTTGCACCCCCCCTCATACTTTTTATATATACCGAGGGGTCTATGGTGGGGGGGGGGGGGTTATGACCCCCCCCCCCCCTAACCCCAACCCCTTGGCTACGCCACTGAACATCTCTATGACATTTAATGTTAGCTTGCATCGGCGCATCTAGTAGGAGTCAAAAACATCATATCTAACCTAGAAAGAAATATTTTAGAAAATATATTTCCGAGAAAACTATAGGCATATAAAAATTAAAAAAAAATCATTAGATAAGGCTCTGTAGCTAAGGACAGCAACCCATCATGGAGAGAAAACACAAAGATCAAACAACCGATGCCTTGTAGTTTGTTCTTGGCTGGACAAAGGCTATGGTAACAAATCCAAAAATAAAAGCAGGCTGAAATCGGAGTCAACAGACTATATGTCGCCAAACTGGTTGACGTGTAAAACTTAATTGAGTGTCCTACATTACAATAAAGAACAAGAAAATTATATATTTCTAATGGTATTATATAAAACAGGTGTAGAATATTTTTATCCCCAAGATTTTAAATGCACTTAAGGTAAGAAAACAAACAACTTTCATAAGCTGATGTAGTAAAGAAAAATAAATGAATTTCCGTTTCTAATAATACCTTGTTTGTCAAACTTCAGATAAAGGAGAGTAGACACTTTAACAGGCATTACAATGATATTACTTTTTTACATTAAGAAGTTCAACGATTTATATATATATATATATATATATATATATATATATATATATATATATATATATATATATATATATATATATATATATATATATATATATATATATACATACATATATATATACATATACACACACATATATATATATATATATATATATATATATATATATATATATATATATATATATATATATATATATATATATATATATATATGAATTTTTACCTGTAAAGTACTTCAATAGATCATCTGGTTCATTCATTTCATTATCTCTGGTCTACAACAGTGAACAACGCTATCTGCAACTTTTGAGTTCCTCAAGAAACTGGAGACTTTGGTTCGATTGCAACTTAGCATCAAAACTGTGGGAATAACAAATTCAACATACACAGTCAATACCAACTTTGTTTAAATTCAACAACCACAGTCAATACCAACTTAGTTTAAATTCAACACAGTCAACACCAACTTTGCTGTAATTTGTCTGAACAGAAGCTTTGAAACTAAAATCTTTAAATTAGGGCCTTGGTCCGATAAAGCGAAATTAGGACGTACACAGTCGATAACAACAGGGGAGCGAATCACACCTTTTTCCAGGAAAAACAGTTGGCTTAGATTTTGTTTACTAAAAAACTAACCAGGATAAAGTAAACACAAAAACTGCGTTAGCTGAGTGGTAGTTAGAGACGCCATCGTGACCCCCTGACCTCTCGTATTACTATACAGCTAATTTTAGTACATTGACAAGTCATTGCAGAGTTCGGTTGGCTGGTCAAGTTAAAAGGGTACCATCATAAAACCAGTTAGCTGCAGCCAATTTAGCTGCAGCAAGTATAGCCGTCGTCTCAACCATGGCATTCTGTGGACTCTATAGAGTAAATATATTCGTCAGTGAAGTGGAAGGAAGCGACAGAGAAAAAATATTCAATTTGCGCGCTCAAATTGACTGTCAATATTTTATGGGCCCGTGGTACACTCTCAGTATAGAAAAAAATATCAGGTGAATGGTACGGTACACATGCTATACACACAGCTACACAGAAACGCATGCTACATGACACAGATACACATCGGGCTACACACACAGATACATGACACAGCTACACAGATACATGACACAGCTACACACAGATACATGACACAGCTACACAGATACATGACACAGCTACACACAGATACATGACACAGCTACACAGATACATGACACAGCTACACACAGATACATGACACAGCTACACACACAGATACATGACACAGCTACACACACAGATACATGACACAGCTACACAGATACATGACACAGCTACACACAGATACATGACACAGCTACACACACAGATACATGACACAGCTACACACACAGATACATGACACAGCTACACACACAGATACATGACACAGCTACACAGATACATGACACAGCTACACAGATACATGATACAGCTACACACAGATACATGACACAGCTACACACACAGATACATGACACAGCTACACACACAGATACATGACACAGCTACACACACAGATACATGACACAGCTACACAGATACATGACACAGCTACACACAGATACATGACACAGCTACACACACAGATACATGACACAGCTACACACACAGATACATGACACAGCTACACACACAGATACATGACACAGCTACACAGATACATGACACAGCTACACAGATACATGACACAGCTACACACAGATACATGACACAGCTACACACACAGATACATGACACAGCTACACACACAGATACATGACACAGCTACACACACAGATACATGACACAGCTACACAGATACATGACACAGCTACACAGATACATGACACAGCTACACACAGATACATGACACAGCTACACAGATAAATGACACAGCTACACACAGATACATGACACAGCTACACACACAGATACATGACACAGCTACACACAGCTACACAGATACATGACACAGCTACACACACAGCTACACAGATACATGACACAGCTACACACACAGATACATGACACAGCTACACACACAGATACATGACACAGCTACACACAGCTACACAGATACATGACACAGCTACACACACAGCTACACAGACACATGGCAAAGATACACATCTGGCTACACAGTTACACGACACGATTACATACGGCTACAAATGCTACACACACGGCTACACGACAAGGCTGTACGACACGGCTATGCACGTTACACGACACAGTTATATGACACAACTACACGACACGGCTGTACACACGACACTACACGACACGTTACACGACACGTTACACGACACGTTACACGACACGTGAGGGCGTGGTGTGTATGTGTTTGTATGTGTGCGTGGGTTTGTTTCTGTGTGACGGTGGTTTTAAGTACGTCAAACCCTTTTCTTTTATTAACAACGAGCCGGCCCGCGGCATAACATACGCCGCTATTTAGTTGTTGTTTTTTCTACTTTTCAGTAATTCATAATTTGTGAATTCGACAGTACCAACGCTGACACTGAAAATATTTCTTTAAAACACTATAAGTAGCTCGTTAAAGACCATAACACCCCCCCCCCCTACGTTTAAAATCGTTGGCTCTGTTTGTAAACATTTAGAATTTAGAGTGAACACAGCTCACTAAAACCATGTAGGGGTGGGGAGGTAGGGAGCGCGTTTGCAGCTTGTTTTTTAGCGGCTCCCAGAAGAGAATTATATATATAGATGTACATTTAAATTACAAAAAAAAAAATAAAAAAAATAAAAACAATAAAAAATAAAAAAAGTTCACAACAAATGACATTCAATAAGCCCGTTAAGCTATTACAAACTATTTTTGTTTGAATCAAACAGTGTTTATTTCCAAACTTGTATAAAGTCGTCAAATTTTAAATTGTCAAATGCATTAGAAATAATGTTAGCGAATACGTTTGCCTTTTTACTGTTTTCGACGTACAGATAAAGTTATCAATATTTTGTACTCCCTTGTAAGACAACGCCACGATGTAAGATGCTGTAAGCTTGTAGATGACCTGCAATAGAAAAAAATATGTTTCGGCTGCATACATTTATGTATGTATAGGTAACGTGTTCAGTTATTATATATTTGTATATATTTATCACCCCCCCCTCCTGCTGTTGTAATAAATGTGAAATCCCGGCACCCAACATGGATTGTAGCTGCTCAAACATTGATTTCCATGACAACCGTGTTTACCTCTACAACACCCGCCCTCCAGTTGACAGCCTTGTTTACCTCTACAACACCCGCCCTCCAGCTGGTCCAATGGACAGAGATCCCAACAAGTTGAAGATGATTCTTTAACTTCAATGTGTACCCCCACCTGTTCAATCGACAGCTAACTACTAGGTATGACTTATACATGCTAACTACGATCCCTTACTTTTATTTAAAAAATCAAACTTTTAACAAAAAAAAAATCACAGACCCCTGGATTTTGACGACGACCCCTACCTGTTGAAAACGACCCCTTCCTTCTATAAACACTCCGACGCATCACAAACGACGACCCCACTCTCACAATGGCACCTGCCACAGGGGTCAGGGGTCTGCTGACCATCCTGGTATTTCTGATGGTCAACTATACAAGCGGCTCCCTCTGTGGAGGACGTCACGAGAATTGATAGAGAACTATAACATTATAACATTTGGTAGAGAACTATACCATTATAACATTTGGTAGAGAACTATAACATTATAACATTTGGTAGAGAACTATAACATTTAAACACTTGGTAGAGAACTATAACATTTTAACACTTGTAGAGAACTATAACATTATAACATTTGGTAGAGAACTATAACATTATAACATTTGGTAGAGAACTATAACATTATAACATTTGGTAGAGAACTATAACATTTTAACCTTTGGTAGAGAACTATAACATTTTAACACTTGGTAGAGAACTATAACATTTTAACACTTGGTAGAGAACTATAACATTTTAACACTTGGTAGAGAACTATAACATTTTAACACTTGGTAGAGAACTATAACATTATAACATTTGGTAGAGAACTATAACATAATAACATTTGGTAGAGAACTATAACATTTTAACATTTGGTAGAGAACTATAACATTTTAACACTTGGTAGAGAACTATAACATTTTAACAATTGGTAGAGAACTATAACATTTTAACACTTGGTAGAGAACTATAACATTATAACACTTGGTAGAGAACTATAACATTTTAACACTTGGTAGAGAACTGTAACATTTTAACACTTGGTAGAGAACTATAACATTAGAACAATTGGTAGAGAACTATAACATAATAACATTTAGTAGAGAACTTTAACATTAGAACATTTGTATAGAACTATAACATTTGGTAGAGAACTATAACAATATAACAATTGGTAGAGAACTATAACATTATAACATTTGTATAGAACTATAACATTATAACATTTTAACACTTGGTAGAGAACTTTAAAATTTTAACACTTGGTAAAGAACTATAACATTTTAACACTTGTAGAGAACTTTAACATTGGAACATTTGGTAGAGAACTACAACATTATATTATTTTTGTAGAATAACACTTATTATAACACTTGGTATAGATTTATAACATTATAACACTTCGTATAGCACAATTGTTGGAGAACTATTAGCACAATTGGTAGAGAACTATAACATTATAACACTTGGTAGAGAACTATAACATTTTAACACTTGGTAGAGAACTATAACATTATAACATTTGGTAAAGACATTAGAGAGTTACCTTGTAGACACGGGTCATTAGAGTTACCTTGTAGACACGGGTCATTAGAGAGTTACCTTGTAGACACGGGTCATTAGAGTTACCTTGTAGACACGGGTCACTAGAGTTACCTTGTAGACACGGGTCATTAGAGTTACCTTGTAGACACGGGTCATTAGAGTTACCTTGTAGACACGGGTCATTAGAGAGTGACCTGTAGACACGGGTCATTAGAGTTACCTTGTAGACACGGGTCATTAGAGTTACCTTGTAGACACGGGTCACTAGAGTTACCTTGTAGACACGGGTCATTAGAGTTACCTTGTAGACACGGGTCATTAGAGTTACCTTGTAGACACGGGTCATTAGAGAGTGACCTGTAGACACGGGTCATTAGAGTTACCTTGTAGACACGGGTCATTAGAGTTACCTTGTAGACACGGGTCACTAGAGTTACCTTGTAGACACGGGTCATTAGAGTTACCTTGTAGACACGGGTCATTAGAGTTACCTTGTAGACACGGGTCATTAGAGTTACCTTGTAGACACGGGTCATTAGAGTTACTTTGTAGACACGGGTCATTAGAGTTACCTTGTAGACACGGGTCACTAGAGTTACCTTGTAGACACGGGTCATTAGAGTTACCTTGTAGACACGGGTCATTA